ATGTTAGTTTCAGACTGCTACAAATGATAAATATGCACAAATATGCTCGCAATAGGAAATGCTTGCTAAAAAAACTCTACTACATCTATATAAGAAGTCCGAGACATTAAAACACAGTCTTTTGTACTACTGCACTAGGCTGTCAACGCGGCGGTTGCTGTCGTACCTTCCAGCAATGAAGTAAACCAGCCTCTTACAGTCAGCGTGTCTATTTTAATTTTAACAAGCTCATAAACGTGGAGCTGCCTTCACCTTTCATCGATGTCAAAGTGGCGATCAAGCAGGCATTTCAAGCTCGGTGAGATCACTAACGGCCAGAGGAGTTTTCCATAAAATGTTATGGGGAGTTTTACGGTTTTCCACTGTAAGACGAGGGATTTAAAAAGGAAAGTTTGTGAATGCTAAACGTAGAGAAGGTTTTGACACACACCTGCTGTTTAGACGACTCCTCAGTATGCAGGTCGCGGTTGGGTCCTCTTAGGTGTACGGTAACTTGAAAGTGTAATAATTCAACTGACAGATGAATTTATAGTAAATTTTTTTGCGGCAACTTATACAGAACCTCTCCGTGAAGTAGCATCTCTCTACCTCTATTTTTGGGAATGAAGTCCGAGTTCGACAAAAGTCGTTCTCACGTTGCCGTAGCATTCTCCGTTCGGGAAACACCACTTGTTTCACATTTTTTGGAGGGACAAACCATTGTGCGTAGGGTTTCCCCCATGACGAATCATCCTATGACTAATGTTCCACTGTGACAAACGGGCCTGTTACCAATCGTCCGGTGACGAATCGCCATGTAACGAATGAACCGTATCCCCGAAAAACCTCGGGTCGTCGTCGGCGCACATGCAATCAGTCAAATCGAAGAATTCGCCCTGGGTGCCGCAGCAGAAGGACCAGAAGTAACACGGAAGAGGCAGTTGATATACTTGCAATCAAAGTAGTCCAGCAAATTGCTGATGTCACCGATAGACGTTTCGCTGGTATAGGTAAAGATGAAGGATGTAGTCCTTCGGGCACACGCAGTGGTGGAAGACACTCAAGCCCATTTAACATCCCGCACAGCTTTCTAAATTGGTCGTCAGTCTTGCAATTGACCAAAATGCCCAACTCCCGTACCTGCAAAATATAAAAAACTGCAACTCAATGATTCGTATATTACAGTTTTGCTTCAGTTTTCACTTGACTTTACCTTGAGATAATCCTTGATTTCAAATGTATCTACAACGCACGATGATGGAAAGAATTTTGTTTTATTAGCCATTCAATTCATGTATTACTCTGAACCCCCAGAAATACTATGCATTAGTACTGTGGTTCTCCTTAGGGCCACTGCCTTTGGGAGTACCACGTTCGCGGCGAGACGCTCTACCGCGAAGTGGGTTCGTACTCGCGTGGCATGCTGCTCGTTGAGCGCAAGCAGACACCAGTCACGTTGGTAACGGTGATAAACTGTTTATTTACAATGAACCAAAATAACAACAACACAGCGGCTATAAGCTGGTGAACGCCGTCGGTGTGGAGATCGCCCACGGCCGAACGGTCGTTCACAAATGTACAAAGGACGGGGTAAACGCTCACCGGTGCGCCGGAAGGTTCCCCGTTGTCGCCGCCGCCGAATCCCAGGAAGAAGAGAGAAGCGAGACTGCTGTCCGCTGGGTTTAAGATAACGGCGGGGGCGAAGTGGCCAATCAAGGAGCGACACGTCGATCTCCTTTGTGCGGGGGTTCGTTACGGAAATCGCCCCAAGGGGGGAGAGGAGGAAGCCACTTACGGTGGTAAGCAGCGCCACCTCTCGCTACGCCAGCGCGGCCGCCACGGCGCGCCAAAACGCTGACGCGACAGAATGTTGAGGGATCACAATCCCCACAGTACTAAAGAGACATTGTGCCTAACATTGCTCGTTTAGATATTTTTTTATCAATTTTTGTTTCGGAGGTTCAAGAGCATTCTCAAAAGCTGGAGCGACAAGACGAGCTGTCACTGCAATATGTATCTCTAAAAAAAGTGATGGCGCTAAACTTCTCTTAAAAACACTTTCCCTTTGACAACGGTAGAATAGTTTATGTTGGCTTACGTTTCTGTGCGTGCTTTAGCAGAGGTGGAAGAAGCAGCCTACTAGAAATGATGAAATGTCCATTGCGTCCGCACTTGAGCCCCTACCGTGTTTCACTTTGGTACTAAAAACAAAAAAAAAAAATAGGTGAGCTCTTGCCTGTGTCTGTAAAAAGTGGGTGAGCTTCTCTCCGGTGAGCTTCTCTCCGGTCAGGTTTTGTCCGGTGAGCTTCTGTCCGGTTACCATCAAATACAGAGCTCTATAGAGTGGAATCGGCAGGGGAGCATCAACAGGATCCTGTTACAGTTTTTTTCCTAGTAACAACACTCAGGCATTCCAAAAAAAAAAAGCGTACTCTCAAGAACCTGTGCGCTCCTATACTACGTCACGTATATAACCAAAAATACATCAAGCATCTCCAAACTCTGACGACACTATGAAATCAGGCAGAACATTACACAATCGCACTTGACAAAATGTCCTCAAAAACGGGTCTTTGCGTAAGAACCTATTTACCAGCTGCTTCAAATACAAATGGGGTAGCGCCAAGCCTCCATCACATACTCTGCGAAAAAGATTGCTCCGGTTCGTACGCTCATAAGAAGAGCCCCGAAGAAAGAACGCAAACACCCGATGCAGGTTTCGGACATTCACTCTAGAACATTGCAAATAGTGGATCGGGCAAATACCGACACGTCTTTTTCACTCCACTTCTCGGTTTTTTTCTCGCAGTTCAACCACTTGAGACCGCTAAAACGGTTCGCTGTCCCTATAGCTTTCCAGAGAAACCCCTCAGTATTTCGCCGGAGGCGAGACCCTTTTGACGTTTTAAACACATTGGTCTCGCCCCACAATCCCCGTGCCAAAACCCAATGCACCTATCCCGGGCTTACAGCACTTCCGCTTCTATTACTAAAACGTTACTCTAATGCCGTAACCTCTCGTACGCTCTCTCTGCTTGCACAGAACACCGCTATATCGTCTGCGCAGGCCATCACGCGCACCTCACAAGCCTGCAGTACGAAACCACGGATGACGTTGCTTTTAACTACACCCAAGCAGAAAGACTCTATGTATAAACAAAACAAAATTGGGGACAGAGGGCAGCCCTGTCGCGCAGGCTGAAGCACACTAATAAGTAGTGTCCTATTTATATGGACCCCGTTAATATGAATACCCAGCAATACGGACGAAATTTTTGGCGACCGGTCTATCCAATTGTAACTCTGCCCATTTAATATTGAAACCAGCAGTCCGGACTATGAACGGCTATTTTGGGAACGAAACTGAAAAATACATGCATTTTTGACTCGTTAAGATGGACACGTGTCCACAAAAAAAAAATAAAAAATATTAGTGATCCAAGTGTGTAGCCGGAATTCACCAATGTCTGTTGTTTGTTGCCTGTCTAGTTACTTTAGATCCGGGTTCACAAACCCGATGGAACAAAAGGTTAGTGAATCATAGAGTTCACAGTTGGTACCAGGGTGTCGAACTGGAATGTTTTTCGTTGCGGTTTTCGTTCCGGTACAGGGAAAATGGTTCAGCTCCGGTTCAACTCAAAAGTGAAAAAATAAAGGTTCAAACCGGTTCGAACCGGTTCGTACTTATATGCTACAAAGACAGTTGACGGCAGCAAAAGATAAACTATGCATATTCTATAAAAGTGTTACATATAAAAAGCAAAGGCTCACATTACGGTGTGGAACGGACGAGCTAGTGCTGGGGCACTTCGGGACGTGGGTGAAAGCGCAGTACAATGACAGGCAGCTGACCGAAAAAGCAGGTCGTCGTCAAGCATATCCGGGGAAAGACGGCACCTCTGAGACGATAAAATGAACTTCAGTGCATAAAGGGCTCGCTCCACGCTCACCTGGGTCGCAGGCACTCCCATGGCTACTGGCGCCCATGCGTAGTTCTGGATAGCGTTCCCTTCCCTCGGCCCAAAACTGCAACACGTTAGCGTCCTCTGAAAGCCGCGGCCCCTTGTCTAGCATTTCCAGGAGGCATGCTATATCAAGTGGGTTACTAGTACCTCGAATGTGCACGCCAGCCTCAACCTCTCTTTCCTTGAGAAGCGCTTCCAGGGCGTCTTCCGAACCATCTGGAGCCGCTGCAAGTTCAAAAGAAGGGGTAGAAACTTGCTCGCATTGCAGAGCTGTGATTCGCCTCCAAGTCTTTGTCAAATGCAATGTGGCCCGGTACTTCTGCTCAGGGATGAAAAGAAGGTGGTAGCGGGGATCTATGTACACTGCTGCACAGAAGACATTCGTGTCAAGAAGTTGTCGCTCCCTCTTTTTCATTGACTGGACCAAGGCCTTTGCTAACGGGGTCAATATCTTGGAGGTGTCCATGGAACATCTCAGCCATCCTCCGTAAAAATCTCCTACAGTGAGCTGTTTCTTCTGCAATGTCTTCGTCGCCACTTCTGCCGGGCGAAGCGATACTGCGAGCATTTCTATGATATTGTAGTGAGTGCGCAGGCGAGCTGGTGGAAATTAACCATTCTGATGTTAGCCTGAGACTGAGGCAGGAAAAGAGGAAGTTTCAAAGTAGAAGAAAAAGGAACAGTCGAGGATACGTCTCTAACACAGCTAAAGACAAGTTTATTCGGTCACCCTCTTATATACACTCCACAATCTTCACCACAGAACCTTCGCGACCTCCAAAGCCAAAAGATAACAAAGAACTCATCTCTTTCCACCACAATAATCAAACGACCTTGACAATCCTACAAAGCCCCCTCACCAACACAACCTATCTCCTCTCTCCCGGAAGACGATCGACCTTCGCGTACATAGCACACCCTCCTCCTCTCCTCCCCGGCCCACAATCCCGAAACAACCCGGCAACAAAAGATACCAATCCACCTGAACCAAACCAAAGACACAAAGGAGGAAACCACTTACACCCTTTCACAATCAACAACCACTTAACAAAACTCTCAAATCCGCAAGAAGGTTTTTGCACTGCTGCTAAGCTGTAACGACACTTGACTAATGCAGTTGCCCATTGATTTCATTCTTATTGTTTCCTTTACAACCCTTTTGATGTCGTTTACTTCCCTGTGTATTATTTCTGTTTCGGACCAGCGTGGTATACAATTATTACATTCTTGAACATGTTTCGCTATTTCCGAATCAGTCGCGTTGTTTTTTACATTTCTTTTGTGTTCAGTCAATCTATCATTTATACACCTCGACGTTTGACCCACATACTTAAAACCACATTCTAGGGGAATTTCGTATACCACTCCATTATCACACGGAATAGACTTTTCTCGATGCATTTTTGTGCATTCCCTTACACTCTTGTGGAAGGGCGTGAGCTTACTCAATTTATAGTCGGAACTAAAAACCAGATCAACATCGAACTTTTTTGCACAAGCCTTCAAGTTGTGAGAAATTTTGTGATAGTACGGAATTACAGTAGTTCTATGTTTTGGCCTTTGCTTTTGTTCTGCTCTACATTTGTCTGCGAATTTTACGGATAACTGTTTCCCTACGAATTCATCCTGATAACCAGCACTGTTTAGCCTTCTCCACTGCCTTTTCACTGATTCAGCCAAGAAATGAGTACATGATCTGTCCATTGCATTTGTGATTAAAGACCTGACAATACCTGCCTTGACTGTTTTTGAATGGCAACTGTTTTTTGATAGCAGCGGTTTTGCGTTTTCTTTTCCATATTCCCAACATAGCCCTTTTTCATTGTGAATCATAAGCTCTAAAAACTGCAGTTTACCATTCATGGGTCGTTCGACTGTAAACCTCAGTTCCGGGGCAGCCGATCTGATCAATGCTTCCAGAGTGTCAGACAATCCCTCCCGAAAAGAACAGATCAAAATGTCATCGACATATCTTTTTACAAAACAGGATTCGGACGTCAGTTCTTGCAACTTATCAGATACAATGCAATCCAAAGAATTTAGGTAAATTTCCGCTAACGCCGGTGCTACACTCGACCCAATGCATACTCCCTCTTTCTGTAAATACTTTTTTCCTTGATACTCTACTATTGTTGACTGCAAGTAATAATCAAGAACGGCAAGAAAACTGTCCACCGATATGCCTGACCACGATTGGAACCTTACCAAATTCATTTCAAGCACCCCTTTTACCCTTTCCAACAGACGACTCTTCTCTAATGAGTAATAAAGATCCTTGATGTCCATTGACAACATATCTCCTTCCTTTCCATGATGACCTTCGAGTACCGTGATCAACTCACTCGAATTTCTCAGTGACAAAGACTTATCTAGAATTGCATGATTTAAACCTTTTTGAAGAAACACGGAAACTACCTTCTGCCAAGTGCCATTCTCATTGATCACCACTCTAAGTCGCATCTCCGGTTTATGATCCTTAATGAAGAACTTTACGCTCAACGCTGATTTCGACAGATTTACCATGGTCTTTGCTACGTCCTTAAATTCGTCTTCCTCTAAAATTGAAACTATATTTTTCTTTAACTTTCCGATGTTTCCACCCCATTCTTGAAACAAGGATTCCATCGCTTCACCCGTTTTCGTTTGAAATGACGATTTTGAAAGAACCGCGAATCTACCGGATTTATCCGTTTGTAGCAATTGTAATGACCGATCCTCTAACTCCTTTCTAACCGAACTGACGACACGAAAATCCCTTTTCTCATTTGGGTATCCAATGCCCATTACGTTTTCCATTCTGCCAACAGCCTGTTCAATAAACGCCGCTCTTTCCTCATGCCTGACTATTCTTGCAACCGACTGTATAGAAGAAAATACATCCACCCTTGACGGTTTTACATCAATACAAAACTTCGGTCCGTTTTCCAACACTGCTTGCGTCTTCCTTGATAACATTACGCCACCCGGATTGATAACAGAACCTCCACACATCCGATCAAAAAAACTAAAAACCCGTGAGTCTCTATCCCTTCCCTCCTGAGATTTCATCTTAATGCTATCCAGAACATGCCTTCGTTTGACATACCACATACGGTTGAAAACTGTCCTCCTGATGCTGTTCCAAATGATGTAGTCCCTGTGCCGCTTGAAATCACCTCCCACCAGGAGCTCCCAAAGTCTTTCGGAAGCGCTGCGTATTTCTTTGATCCGGTGACTTGAGGCTTCTCTGTACGCCTTGAGGATCCTCTTCTTGCCGCTCCAATGGCCCCCCGACGCTGACAGATGTTTGAATGCAGCTGGGTCCACGAACCTTTTTCGGAGGCAGATGCCGAAATATGCAACCTCGGCCTCCAGCTCCGCCAGTCGACGTCCCAGTCGGTCCAGTACTTCTACTGCTTGAGAAATACAGGCGGTCGGTGTCGTTGATGATGCGGTTGTACATGAGAAGGGGACCAAGCCTGCTTCATGATATTGTATGATAATCAATGAAATTGTAATCAATGATATTGTAGTGAGTGCGCAGGCGAGCTGGTGGAAATTAACCATTCTGATGTTAGCCTGAGACTGAGGCAGGAAAAGAGGAAGTTTCAAAGTAGGAGAAAAAGGAACAGTCGAGGATACGTCTCTAACACAGCTAAAGACAAGTTTATTCGGTCACCCTCTTATATACACTCCACAATCTTCACCACAGAACCTTCGCGACCTCCAAAGCCAAAAGATAACAAAGAACTCATCTCTTTCCACCACAATAATCAAACGACCTTGACAATCCTACAAAGCCCCCTCACCAACACAACCTATCTCCTCTCTCCCGGAAGACGATCGACCTTCGCGTACATAGCACACCCTCCTCCTCTCCTCCCCGGCCCACAATCCCGAAACAACCCGGCAACAAAAGATACCAATCCACCTGAACCAAACCAAAGACACAAAGGAGGAAACCACTTACACCCTTTCACAATCAACAACCACTTAACAAAACTCTCAAATCCGGAGCTTGTCGCCGAATCCTCTCAACAGCCACATCGACTCGAAGAAAACTTCACGCCGACAGAAGCAGCGGAGGAAGAAGAAAGACTAACCGTTACTCGACGTGAAGCTCGCCGGGCCTTGGACACAGTGATCGCCTATCGTGGGCAGGAGGGCGACGGGGAACGTGCACTTCTTGTGGCCGACGTGTTGCACTTTCTGGACACCAAAGTATTATCAAATATGTCAGTGCAAACTCACATCTCCTCGTTTTTTGGCTAAATATGCTCTGTTTTTGTTTTCCACAATGATTAGCAGCAGCAGCGGCGGCACTAAGCCCGCAACCTAAAAACTACGTCCTGTACTTTCAGAAAAACACGTGCCGGACTCTCGACCATCCGGGAGCCAGGCCTTGCAACAAGCACCGTGCAAGTCATCTACCAGTGGATGCAACGCCTGTACTGATCATCGTGGAAAACGTACCAGATAACGGTCATCGAGGCTCAAGCGGAGAACGCAACCATCTGCAAAGTCATCATCCAGAGCAGCAACGCTTCAATCGTCCGCGAGGTGGCCTTCGGATCCCGACGCTACATAATCGGCTGTCTCCCACCGGCCCCCGCACAGGCAGCAGCGGCGGCACTGAGCACGCAACCTAAAATCTACGTCCTGTACCTTCAGGTTGGTTTTCACACATTTTTTGTCATTTCTTTTCTTTCCGCTGCTGCTGCCATACAGCCATAGGGTGTATAGAGCATGAAAAACGCAAATGACGAGTGTTTGCCATGTGGCAAACCCCTTCCACATAATGGAACAGTCGCAACGTGCTCTGAATGTTCTTACAGTTTTCATTTTGGAGCGTTTAGTGGGGTATCTGAAGCTACTTTTAGAAAAAGAGGCGAAAGTGCTCGGGAGGAGTGGAAATGTCCGACTTGTCAAAAAGGCAAACAGAGGAGTCATTCGGTCAAGGGGACCATACCATCGGAGGCGGATATTGCCGGTATGTTCGTTACGATCAGCCAGAAACTTGAAATTCTCACGAGCCTAAAAGGAACAGTTGACGGCATAGAACACTCCGTGCAGTTGATGTCTGACCAGTATGACGAGGTCATGACCCAACTAGCCGCCCAAAGCGCAGACATCAAAGACTTAAAAGCACCGGTGACGAATCTTGAGGCGAGAAAATGCGAAGATGATGTTCTACAGCTGAAAGAAGAATTGAACGAACTTGAATGGAGCAGCAGGCGCCTGAACCTGGAATTTCACGGCATTCCGCAAACCAATAACGAAAACTTTCTTGAGAAGGTGAACGAAGTTGGATCCAGGATAGGTGTACCAGAACTCTCAGAACCAGAGGTGGTGTCTGCACACCGGCTTCCTCTAAAACCCGGAAAGGTTCCAGCTATCATCGTCCGGTTTGCAAAACAGCGAACCCGTGATCTTTGGCTCGAAAGAAAGAAGGAACTAAGAAAAAATCGTGAGGAGATCTACATTAAAAAAAACATGACTCGGCTGAATAGGGTTCTCCTACGTGCTGCAAAGGACTGGGCGACTGCGAAAAGATTTCAATACGCATGGCACAAAAACGGAAAGGTCTTTGTTCGCGCAAAAGACGGTGACCGTGCAATCGTTGTAAGGAACGTCGATGACCTTCAAAAAATCGGTTAAACGCATCTCTTTTCTTGCCTAACGTATTATTGTAGGTAGTTCCTGTGAGATGGCTAATGCAAACATCATTCTACAGGAGGAACTGAAAGATTGTTTGGGCACAGGAAATACCCCCTCAACTAAATGTTTTCATTTAAATACAAGATATGCCAGAAACAAATCCGCAGATTTAGAATTCCTTTTCCATGTACTTGACGTCCCGTTCGACGTTATTATGTTATCAGAGACCTGGTACAGATGCGACAGTGACGTTTTCAAACTTCCCGAATTTAATGCTCATTGTGTAAATCGGCTATCTCAGCGTGGCGGTGGTGTTTCAATGTTAATAAAAAATGATATGAGCTACGAACTTTTGTCGGAATTTTGTCTCTCGACCGATGACTATGAAGTACTCTCGATAAGAACAAACCAAAATGTTGTGTCAGTGTTCTATCGCCCCCCCCCCCCCCCCCCCCCCCCCCGATGGCAATATTTGGAAGTTTTGTGAATTTTTGGATGGCTTCTTTGTGTTTATTGAAGATAACCAGTACAACGTGATTTGGGGTGGGGATTTCAATGGTGACATGTTAAGCGATAATAGTTCAAAAAGAAATATTACTACTCTTTTCCAGATAAACGGTTGCATGAATGTAATAAATCAACCGACACGTATTACTAGCACATCAGAAGCATTGCTCGATCTATTCATCACTAATTTTGACCGGCAAATCGTGACATCCGGTATGAAAGCTTGCAATATCAGTGATCACCTCGCAACTTTTCTATGTATAGGTAATGATATCGGTAAACGCAAAGGCCCTAAAGTGCACACTTTAGTACAAAGTATTGCCACTGACCGTCTTGACTACTTCAAAAATAACTTGAGGGATGCAAACTGGGCGGGGGTTTTAGACAAAACTGACGCGAATGAAGCTTACGAAGAATTTCTCCATATTTTCAAAACTATTTACGTGAACCACTTTCCCAATCGAAAAGTAAGGAGACTAAAAAAAGCCCGGAAACCATGGATAACGGCAGAATTAATTGCAAAGGTACAAATAAAGAACATACGCTATATCAAGCTTTCATTAAAACAAAAGACCCAGGCAAGCTTAAAATTTTTAAGGCGTTCAGGAACAATTTGAACACGGAACTAAAGAAATGCAAAACCGTCTACTACCACAATTTGTTCAGCTCAATTCCCGGCCGCACTGACGTGATGTGGAGGAAGTTGAATTCTGTTTTAAATCGCAACGACACGCAAAAGAGCATTGAATCTATAACACAAAATAACGTTGAATTGAGTGGTCGTTCTCTCGCTGATGTATTTAACAACTTCTTTGTAAATCTAGGGGGCGACTTTAATACAACTAATGCTTGCAGTTATATGAACCGAAGAATTATGGAAATTTTCTATTTTAATCCAGTCACTGAAGATGAAGTGGTGTCAGTGTTTCATAACGTAAACGTTAGTCACGGTTGCGACGCCGATGGTATACAGATACGCCCAGTACTATATGTTTTCGACATTATCGGCCGTTACCTGGCGTACATTTTTAATCTCTGTTTAGAAACGGCCATATTCCCCCAAAAGATGCAGATAGCCAAGGTGATAGTGCTTTATAAGAAAGGCGATAGAAATGACATAAACAACTACAGACCTGTGTCACTTCTCCCAGTATTTTCGAAAGGCTTAGAAAAGATTATACATAACCGTTTTATTGTGTTTTTGGAAAAGCATAACGTCATTACAGAATCTCAGTTCAGATTTAGAAAGAAAATTTCTACGGAACTAGCCTTGCTTGACCAAAAAGAATTTATCCTGCGCAACTTTGAAGATAAGAATATAGTACTGGGCATATTCATCGATTTTACAAAAGCGTTTGACTACATTAACCACGAGTTGCTCATTCAAATATTAGAGTTTTATGGTATTAGGGGACATGCAGCGCTTCTCATTAAGTCGTATTTAGAAAAAAGGCGTTAGTATTCAAGGTCACTTTTCTGATATCAAGCCAATTAAGTCTGGGGTACCACAAGGAAGCATACCTGGGCCATTGCTCTTTAATATATATATTAATGACATCGTTAACATTGCGCAGCTAGTGAAGTTTATAATTTACGCGGATGACACCAGCCTCTTTTTTTCAGGTAAGAATTATAATGAAATTTCGCACGTAGCTAATGACACCATACAAGCTCTAGACACATGGGCTAAATCAAATAATCTCATAATTAATAAAAAGAAAACTAAGGCGACCTTATTTTGCCCCAAAAATAAGAACCCTGAACTTACGAGTGATATTTTTCTAGACTCTTCGCCTATTGAAGTGGTAAGCACGTTTAAGACTTTGGGGGTGTTTTTCTCTTGGCACATGTCTTGGACTGAACACGTTGAATATATTATTTCTAAGCTCTCTCGTATCACTGGTATGCTGCATAGACATCGTCATGATCTTCCAAAAGGAGTTAAGTTGCTTTTGTATAACTCATTGTTTTTATCTCATCTGAATTATTGCCATTTCGTTTGGGGGACGACGACAAAAAGCAATCTGCAGAAACTATTTCTATTGCAGAAAAGAGTGTTACGAATTGTGTGTAACGTGCCTTATGATTCTCACACTGACCAACTTTTCAGAGAGCTGCGTGTAGTGAAGATATTTGATCACTATGCTTTCAGACTTAGCATAAAGTATAAACAGGAATGTCGCGAGTTAAACAGTTTCTTATTGTCATTATCATCACTTCGAAAAAGAGCTGCAACATATTCCACCCGTCACTCCGATGTTTGGGCAGTAGAAACGTCACGAACAGATTATGGCCTCCAAATGATTAAAATAACCTTGCCAACATTACTGAACACTCTTATGGGCTCTAGTTTTGATGTCGAATCTTCCAATATGTGTGCGCTTAAGGATTATTTTCTTTCT